AGGGTGCCTGAATGAAACGTAATTGTACACCTAACCCTTAACTGTACCCCACAAAACCATTAAAAAAAAATCAGCAGTAAAGAAAATGACAAGTTCTTGTCCTCAAGGGATTTACATCCTGAATGGGAGTGATAAAAAATAAAAAAAATCAGTATATTATATCCATGACTGACAGTGTTATGTAGAAAAATAAAGTGAATCCAAATGGAACATTGCTCTGTACCAAAGAGGAGTAGAAAGGGACATGATATTTGTTGAGTTCACGATATTTTTCATGTGTTTTGTTTATATTTTTCTTGTTAATCCCCAGAAACCAGAGGTGTATTATCCTTATTTTTTTTTTTTTGAGTTGGAGTCTCACTCTGTCGCCCAGACTGGAGTGCAGTGGCCGCTCCCGGCCACCGCAGCCTCGACCTGCTGGGGTCCGGTGATCCTTCCACCTCAGCCTTCCAAGTAGCCGGAATTACAGGCATGCGCTACCACGCACAGCTGATTTTTTTATTTATTGTAGAGATGAGGTCTCGCTGCCCAGGCGGGTCTCGAACCCGCGGGCTCAGGCAATCCACTCACCTCAGCCTCCCAAGGGTGTGGGATTACAGGCTGAGCCACCGAGCCCAGCGAGATCAGGTACTCTTATTGATGAGGTGTGTCCTCCCTCCCTCCCCTGACAGTTTCCCACGACTGCCAATCCCTTTCTTATAGTATTAGGATAATTGTTCAAGGTCTTCTTATGAGTGAGAACATAGGGATTTTTTTAAACATTCCTGGAAAATAGTTTCACTTGAGATGAGTGAGATTGCCGTAGGAGCTTGTAAGAGGATTAGCGTGGTAGCCGTGATAACCTCCCTTACTGTCCTCTGTGTACAGTCTTGTCGCCACATGTAAACACACACTCAGGGTGGTGAAGAGGCTTGGAGATTGTCCTAGCCAGGCATGCTGTGCAGATTCGTATAGAAATGCATTTCTATAACACGCAGAACCATGGTCAGGGGCACCGCCATGGTTCTTCACCTAGGCACCAACCTTTCTACCTCTGAATGCTTCTGCTTAATTTCACTTCGTGATCTAAGGTGGGAAGAGCTGAATAGCCCCAGGTGTTCAATGTGGAATATCTAGCCTTTGGCATAAGACTAAGATTGGGTAGCATGGGTCTGTCTCGGCAGTTTAACCTGGGTTTAGCAGAGGATGTGGGAGACTGGACACCAGCACAGCCCAGGTCTCCAGCCCTGAAGATGCCCGGAGTCAACCTACCAGCAAAGGAGTTTCTCCTCAGTGTCTTTGGTTCTCTGGTGGGGGCAGGAGGAGATACCATTGCCTAGTTAGTGTCTGGCTACAAAACTCTGAACACCATTGCCCTAGGGCATAGTAGGGGAGGCCTGAGGTCATGGACAGTCTTCCTGGGTCCCTGTGGAAAAGGTCTGCAGCAAGTTGCAGGTGCCCTGTTTGGCATGCTGCGAAGGTCACCTGGTCATGCCTGGGACACTCCAGGTGTGAAGGAGAGAGGCAAGACCACTGCCACATACTCCATCTCCCACGGCTTCTGTCTGTGTGTTGTCCTGACATTGTCTGCTTAGTACAAGCCAAGCTACTAACTTGATCTCATCCTTTGCATCTTAAACATTTCATTAAAACTTCCCTGGAATATCAGTAATATTAGCTTATATTCATTAAACTATCTACTTTGGGCCTAACTTATAGCCTTGGAAATTTAAAGTAGACAAGCATCAGAAAGAATTTCCTTATCTCAGTGCATGGGAAGGCATAAGAGTTTGTTATCCAGATGAACTGTGTTCTTCCTAAAGGTTTTTGGTGAGGTTCTGTTTGCCATCTCTCGGTGATGATTTAAGCACTGTCCTGCCTGGTAACTACACTTGAAAACCACACGGGATCATTGTGTGACGCATTTCTGGGCTCAACATCTCATCAATCTTTTCTCTGCCTTGTGTGGAAACATAAATTTGTGTTCCTACCTGGCTGCTCTGAACTTCAAACTGCAACTGGTCACATTTCTCCACACTCCCTGAATAAACCATATCATGATTTATAAAGCACTTTGGAAACAGACTCAAAGCTTCCGAGGAGGGTCTGGGGAAGATACACTCTCCCAGGAACCACCAAAATCAGAAGCATCTAGAGCTCAGATGGGCTGTGCCAGGGTGTGTGTGTGTGTCTGTGCCCTGGAGAGCCTCGCACCTGCCAACATGAGCCCCGGTCCTGAAGACGTGGCCATTCACCATCCCTGCCTTCACAACCAGACATTGAGAAGATCAAACTTTTTTTTTTTAACATGATGGCAAATGTCTTTCCCTAAAGCTTCAGATGAGCAAGCAAATAAAGGTCAGACTTAGGTTTAGGAAGAAATAAGATAGTGACAGAGTTGACGGGCCAGCGGCCTTCAGCTGTATTTGCTTGGTGAAGGCGTGGGGTACAGCACGAAGGGAGACACCGTGGAAGATCAGAGGGAGGCAAGGGGTGGAGAATCGGGAGAAAATGCCAATGGGACTGGCAAGTACTCATTTTGAAAGATATCTGTGTCCCAGGCAGAGTCGGTTCCGGAAAGTATACGTGAACCATGGACATTTAACGCAGAAGCTAAGTGAAGAACTGGAAATACAACTTCACCTAGGTGAAAGGACGGAAAAGACGATTTTTAACTGTAGACTGGGTAATAACCTACCTTTTCTGTGAGTCGGGGTCTCATTCTGCTGCCCAGGCTAGACTGCAATGGTATGATCACGGCTCATTGCAGCCTCGACCGTCTGGGCTCAAGCAATCTTCCCATGTCAGCCGCTGGAGTATTTGGGACTACAGGCATGCACCACCATGCCTGGCTTGCTTTCTTTCTTTCTTTCTTTCTTTCTTTCTTTCTTTCTTTCTTTCTTTCTTTCTTTCTTTCTCTCTTTCTCTCTCTCTCTCTCTCTCTCTCTCTCTCTCTCTCTCTCTCTTTCTCTCTTTCTCTCTTTCTCTCTTTCTCTCTTTCTCTCTTTCTCTCTTTCTTTCTTTCTTTCTTTCTTGAGATGGGTCTCACTATGTTGCCCAGGCAAGTCTCAAACTCCTGGGCTCAAGCGATCCTCCCTGAGACAGGCCAGGTGCAGTCTGACCTCGGGGCCTTTGCACAAATCCTGTGACTCCTTCCCTCACTTCTTTCAGGTCCTCACTCAAAAGGTCAGCTTCTCAGTGAGGCCTCCCCTGGTCATCCTAGCTAAAATTGCAGCAATACACACACACACACACACACACACACTAAACACCCTCCACCTCCGTATCCTCCTGTATCTTTCTCCTGAGCACTCTGGAACAAGCCACATGCAGTATGTGTTTATCGTGTTTCTCGTCTATCTCCCCCACTAGACAGCAAGCTCCTTGGTACAGGGACGTTGTGGATTTGTTGTATGACTACTGCTCTCTGGCAGCAAGACGTGGTGTCTGGCATGCAGTCGGTGTTCAATAAATATTTGTTGGATGACTGAAAGATTAATGAATAGGGGGATCCTTTCTGCATGTTCCCTCGTGCACCTGTGTTTTGGAGCACCCCTGAGCACACCCAGCTCTCATCCCTTCCTCAGCCACACCAAGTCTCCCTCTTTGGAGAGCACAGCCGGAAGGTAGTATGAGTGACCAACACCAGAAAACTCCTTCTGACGGACCATCGGGTGGGTGGGTCATCCAGTTGGCAAATAAAGCGCAGAACATTAGGTTCCACAGGGTGGCAGGAGAAATCCCAAAGGTGAAAAGCCTCTGTTCCAGCAATTTCCAAACTCTTCCCACCAGCTTCCCGCTTAAAAGACCAAAGTGATGGAAGTCACGTCTAAGAAAAGGGGATTCCCCAGAAGTCATTCCGTCTTCGGCCACAAGACGTGGGTGCGAAGAGACGGGAGGGGCCGGTCCAGGGAGAAGAACGAGATTCTGAGCCACGGGAGGTATTGAGCCTCCTGAGTGTTGTTCCAGTGAAGCACTGGAGAGGAGACAGGCAGGTTTAACATGGACAGCAACTCTGACGCCGCCTGCCTGTGGAGTGCCTCTTTTGGCGTCGAGATGCTAAATGAAAGAAATCGAGTTTCCTATTATTTTTCCCCTTCCCTGCCTTAGAATTCATGAATCTGTGAAAGTCATTTAGAGCAATCCTTTATAGTCTGAAAAGAAGGTTTCTGCAGAATTCTAAGCATCACGCGTAAGAAGGAATAAAAGATGTGAGACAGACATGCGCGTCTTCTCCAGCCGGTGCCGTGAATACTCTTAAGAAGCGCCTGCTTGCTGTCCTGAATATGCCAATCTTGGCATACCCGTTTGTCACCTTGCGATCGTGCAAAACTTTTTTTTTAATCTTTATTTTAAAAATTCATGCCAATCCCTAGTTACTTCAGCTGCTTCTTTAAATTCCTTGCTCAAGATTAATGTCACCCCGCACTGTGGAACATTCATGAAGACAGGCACCCTGAATAACTCCGGTTCCCCTCCCCTGCTCCGGCTGCTGCCCCTGGCTTCTACCTGCTGGCATCCTCTCTCTTCCCACGTCATCACAGGGCACACAGTTCACGTCTCTTCTATCAGTTTACAGGAAAAGACATTCAACACAGGAGGTGTGTTATCTCAAAGG